AATGTACCACATTTCCTCACTCAAAACTGAAAATTGGTCCTATTGCAATTTGGGACCTGCCCATATCAAATGAGGCATTTCTATTACAGATTGAACCCTCCCTTATTTGGAATATCTGGGACCAGAAGTGTTTCAAATTTTGGATTTTTGAAAATATGAACTGCAATTAACCTAGTACCATACTGCATTTGCGAGACTGGTGAGAGAGACTTGGAATCTTTCCATATCACAGATCGTCAGTATCTCCCCACCCTTGCATTTCTTACATACCACAGGTAGTGAATGAATGAGACTAACGACTATATCACATGAGGTCCTTTTGGCGGCATGCACTGGTTTGCCCATACTTTTACAACAGAGCCCATCAACTCCATCCCACAATGTAGAACAACTCCTGACAAGGTTCTGTCATAAAAATATAGGTGAACACAGGAAGCTTCCTGTGTTAAATAGAATTCGGGGGGGGGGGGGGGCTGGTTGGAACAAGATAATAACTAAAATTTTGAGAGAGGTAGAATGAAGAGGAAGTCCAAAAACTGAAAGATGAACCTGGGGTGCTAAGGGCGGCAGAAAAGTGATACAGGAAATAAAGATGATATATGGAATACAATGGAGGGAATGGTTTATATTAAGTTCATGAAATGTGAGAAGAATAGAAAGAGGAAAGAGTGGAACAGATTCTGAAAGAAGAATTCTCTAGTCTATTTTTTAAGCTGGTGGTCAGACAGACACCATGGATCTAAGCCACCAAAGAGAGAGAAAAAGAACACTAAGTAATTCAGGATATTTTGACGGAGTTGAAATTTTGAAAGAATCCATGGAAAGGATTATATCCAGAAAAAAAAAAGAAATAAAGAAAAGGGAAGCTTGCCAAAGCAAGATAAAGTGCTCACTTCCTTAGAGTCTGGAATGCAGGTTTTTTTCCAGCTCATTGTGAGTGAACAATGCAGATGTTACATTGATCTGTAGAAAAGCAGAAGGTTTAGGAGGACAGTTAAAAAGATTATACACCGCAATAGATTACATTCATTGACATACACACATTAGTACTTGCATCTTCATTTGTACGCATGGGGTCTGGAGTTTGGCTCAAAGAGCTAAATTGTTTTTTGTTGTCATTTATCAAACAAATAGTGGAATTATAGAATACAGAAAAGCAAAAGCTTCCCCACCTACCCCAATGTAAACTTCAAAAAAAAAAAGATATTGTTCTATTTTTGGTATACCATCCTCATTAATTTCTAGGAATATTTCTCCCAAATTCATACATGCAAAGATTGCATCACACACATATATGTCCTCTAGATGTGATTTTTTTTGTGAAGATGAATTAAATATGTTTTCTCTTAAACTGTTGCACTTCTTTGTATTGTATTTTTATTTTTTAAACAAATCCTTTGTCTCCTAATAAATTCTAAATCAGTGTTTCTCAACCTGTGTGTCCCCAGGTGTTTTGATCTACAACTCCCAGAAATCCCAATCAGTTTACCAGTTGTCAGGATTTCTGGGAGTTGAAGGCCAAAACATCTGGGGATCCACAGGTTGAGAACCACTGTTCTAAATACTGAACTTTTGACAAAGGGGCCAGCATGATGTAGTGAACTGATTGTTGGACTATGACTCTGAAGACCAGGGTTTGATTCCCTGATCAGACATGTAAACCCATTGGATGACCTTGGGAGAATCACACTCTCTCAACCCCTAAAAATCCATGACGGTTATTAGAGTTGTCATATGTTATAATCGATGTGATGGCACACAATGTCAACCATTGTGAAGCAGATAGATGGAAAACACATAGTAAACATGCTTGAAAGACATGAGAGATTAAATGGTCTTTTAAAATCAATATCTTCTCCCTCTCAGAAGGCTTCAAAATATATGAGTTGGGAATCTTGATGCATTACATTGCGGAATAATATAGTTAGACACTGCTTTAACTGTAATGGTTTAATACTATGAAATCACGGGATTTTAGTTTTATGAAATCTTTAGCATTTTCTGTCCAAGTGTACTGGTGCCCCACAGACCTACAAATCCCAGAATTTCACAGCATTGAGCCATGGCAGTTAAGTGGTGTTAAATTACATCAGTTCTACAGTGTAGATGCACCCAAAACTGTGGTCCCACTCCAGGTTGTAATTCAAAATTTAAAGGAGCATTCGAAGTATTGAAACCTTACTCCTTATCCAATGTGCCCAGTGATTCATATAATTCCTTTAGAATTTAAATTTATAACCTTCAATGCTTTCAGCACACCAACGTCATGGAAAACACTATAAATCATAAGGAGTCAAAATGCAAGCAAATACTAGGCAGAAGTGAGTGGGCAAGAGGGATGAACTCTTCTAAATCTTGTTATTTATTTATTTTGGTGGAGAAGGCAGCATATACATTTAATAAATAAATGTAAATAACTAAGAAATAACACAACACAGAAAACAGGCTGCTTAGAAATGAATTATACTGTTTTGTATTGTTTTGTATGGTTAATGTTTTGTTTTTTTAATTTATGGTTTTTGGAAGCTGTGTTGGGTTCCACTCTGGCAGCAAATAAATAAATAAATAAAATAAAAAATAAAATTAAAATATAGAAAAAGTGAGAGCCATAGAGAAGTAAGCTACATAAGACCAAAGCGAAGTTTTATGGAAGATGTAGAAAACAGGAGGCAAGGTGAAAGCAACAGAAGACAGACAAGAGGACAATAAAAAGTAAAAATATGCAATGGGACCAATAAGATCCTTTTTAGTAGCCATTCTAGCCAATGGATTGTAATTAATTAATTAATTAATTTTATCCCACTTTTCTCCCATGGCTGGGATTCAAAGCTGATTAAAAACAGAAATTACATAACATATATATTCAAACAAAAACATCATAAACCAAATATACAATTTGCACACTACATAAACCATATATAACAAATCAATAAATTATGAAACATACCATTAAAAATTTACCTGAAACTCTGACCACTGAGATCATCCATAAAACAGATTGTACTAAAATCATTTCCATTGGGCCGTGTAACTACATTGCAAAGTTTGAAATAGCATTCAAAGATACATATTGCCAGTAGCTATCTGGCTGTTGTCTATTATAAGTTATCTGGAAAGGCCTGGTCCCACAAAAAAGGTTTTAATTTGTGGACAAAAGGCCAACAAGGAGGAGTCCAAGAAGGCCCTCTCTTTTGTTCCAGCGATTGCACTTGTGACAGTGCTGGGACCAAGAGAAGGGCCCTCCTGATGATCTCAGGGCTCGTGTGGGCTGCTAGGAGGAGATACGGTCCCTCAAGTAGGCTGAGTCTAGATACTAGAAAGATACTGTAGTTAAGGAATGTAATGTTTCCAAATTCTGGGATAGAATATAGAAATTATGGGTGGAAGAAAAGGAAGAAGCTTTTTATGGAAGTTCCTTTTGATGGATTTTACTCCTTTTTTCAACTTCTGTTGTTGGCCACTGTGTTCATGATGTGGAGCAGGCAGACAGAGTCAATACAGTGCACTGCAATCCTACACTTCATTAAGTTCATTGAGACTTACAGTTATATAAGTTTCTTCTATGCATGAGTGAGAAAGCTGAATACTGAAGAAAGCTCACAGGAAGAAAATCAACTCCTTTAAAATGTGGTGCTGAAGGAGAGCTCTGTGTGTACTCTAAACTGGCAAACAAACAAATAAATGAGTCCTAGAGCAAATTAATGACCATGGTTCATGAAGGCCTCCCATTCATAGAGTCATATGTCAAGGTTGACTTGTTGGTGAATAACAACCAAAGTGTGTACAGGTTGAACAACCCATATACAAAATGCTTGTGGCAAGAGTCTTTTTCAGATTTTGGAATACCTCTGTTTGCATAATGGGATATCATGGAGTCTGATAGGATTACAACCTAAATAAGTAAACCGGGGGTAGTGGAAGGTGATCAATTACTAGCCTGCTCGGTTGTGACAAATCTTTATGGGTTATGTTTTCATACCTGTGCAACCAAAGGGACCCATAATATGTGGAGTTTGAATCCCAGCATTGGCCTAATTCTGCTTTGGGTTATGCTAATGAGAATTTAACTGGTAGTGTCCCAGAGAAACAGAGTTAATTAGTCACTTCTGAAAGCTTGACTCTGCATCAACCCTGACATATCATAAATACTAATGAGCATATTCACACAGCACAGACTGAGTCACTGTTGTCCTCATTTTGTGAGGGGTATATTAAAGCAATCTCTTTCTCAACCTTTCACTGACTAGGAGACAGCACACAACTAGATTTAGAAATAAATTAATGGGATCCCATTGCCAACTTAACCCAAGTAATAAAGTACAAATTGGATGCCATTAGTGCTGTAAAACCATTTAAACCAGCCTTTCAAAATTGTGTGGACAGATGTGGTCTGTCTGTCTACACACATTTTCTTATGTGAGACATTTTCTGAGTACTGCTGATTTTTTTCTTAGTACTTCTGTTTTTGGAGAATCATGATATGCTTACTGTGTTTTTAAATACCTTCGGAAGAACTGCCCTTGTGATTTCAAATTCTCTTTGACTTCTATCCCACTGCTGGTTTTTTGTTCAGTTCTGTATTATGTTTCATTTGCAGATTTATCTTGAGATTATATTCTGCTTCTCTAGTCACTATCTTACAGTTGCACTTCAAACCTGTTTATATTTTCAAGAGATATCATGCTTTACAAAGAACTTTTGGTGTCTCTGTGTAGGAATTCATTAAACTAACCAACAAATACAATTTCACAACTCACAGCATTCTATAGCATTGAGTTAAAGTGGTTTCAAACTGCATTATTTCTACAGTATAGCTGCACCTTAGGTCCTCCAGCATGACTGGAAAAAATTGACTGTAGAATCACACTGGACGACCTAGAGGGAACACTTTTAACCAAATCCATGAATAATCAAATCTTTAAATATAAAAACTACAAATCTGGAGGGACAACTGTGGATGGAAATGCCATAGACTAAACAGTTGTTTTTTCTGCCTGCAGATTGATCTCCGAGCCACAGATGTCAAGCTCATGCGGCAACTATTGATCATCAATGAAAGCATTGAATCCATCAAGTGGATGATTGAAGAGAAAGGAGCTGTGGCCAGTCGGGGAAGCAGCCTGAGTGGCAGCCTCTGCAGTTTACTAGAGAGCCAGGAAACCTCACTCCGAGGAAGCTACAACAGTTTGCAGGACTGCAGTGATGGATTGGATGGGATATCTGTGGGGAGTTACCTGGATACTTTGGCAGATGATGTCCCAGGACAGCGTACTCCTTCAGACATGGATCAGTTCAGTGACTCTTCCCTAATAGATGACTCACAGTCCCTACATAAACATTCAAAGATTGAGTCGGACGAGTACTACTGTTTTGGTTAATAAAATGAAACTATGGGGTAAGGGGATACATGTGCACTTGTATTTATGTTTTTTCTATGCTGCTATTTTGTTTTAAGCATTTAAAAGCACCTTTGTAAAAGATAATGTATTTTAAATCTGCTTTTTTCGCTCGGTGTGCTCCTTCTTTCTTTGGGCCCTTCCACACAGGATTTGGATTTAAGAAATCCGGTTTGCTTTGGAGTGCCTACACAGAAACCCCTTGAACTTGTTCAAAGATGCAACAGAGTATACAAAGCTGTACTGATCGTGAATTGAACTGAATCTAGGATTGATGTTTTTTAGCTTCTCTGGCAAAAAGTGCTGGCTGAAAACAGTTTACTTGGCTTAAAGCAGAGCAAGCTGAGTCATTGAAAGCCAGCATTCACATAGGAACACTGTCCTTTCCTTGCAGGAGGGAAGGCATTTTTTACCTTCAAGCCGAGCTCTTAATTCGGCTTCTGCCTGTGATTCCTGCAGTTTAACCCTGTCTTGAAGAGCGCTCTAAATGTCTCTTCTGCTTGATAGCACTGCACTGTTTATACAGTGATCAGCACATTTTATGGTAGGATCCCAAATTTCCAGTAAGTTTCTTTAACACAGTTTCCAGATGGATGTGGGTTGGAGGTTGCATTGGGGGTGAATGTTTTAGAGGGACCCCACTCTTGAGCCAGCTTCAAGCCAGATTATTCTGCCCGTGTGGATCGGGCCTTTGTCTGTTTCTATATCTCAGTTTCTAGATTCCCCTGCCATCTTAATTTATTGCTGTTAGAATATTCTCCCCCTTTTATAATATCACTTTTGATGATTTTAAAAATGAAATAAATATGAGGAAAATTAACTTTTATCTTCAATACGAAGTATGGGGATGAACTATTGAATTCTAAATTTGACTGACAATAAAACATTTTTGATTATTTATGGATTTGAGTCAAACTTTCTTAATGGCACATTATGATGGTTTTATTCTGCTTACAAATATTTCTGCAGATATTAATAATAAGCTTTCAGGCTTACAGTGTAATTACTTGTGGGAAAAAGGAAGTGGAAGGAGAATGAGTTATAATTAAAGATATATAACTCTTTTCATGACTCCACTGGGAGTTGTCAAGGAATGTCTTAACCAAGACTCTCTTGATTTTCAAATTCATATAAGGCAAAAGAAAAAGCCACAAAAATGTCCACATAAAATGAAAACATCGTACTTATGGAACCTAACTGCTTCAGTAAAAACGTCATATTAAAGAGAAGAGAAGAATGCAACTGTATTTTAAAAAACAAAACAAAACACTGATTGTACCTGGAAATCTAGCATATTAAAGAAACATAAGCCAGTACTACCTACTAGCACTACATGGTTCAAGAGGAAGGAGCTTCATCCCTCAGTGGAAGTGTGGAAAGCCCTATTCCCACCCTGCTTTAACCTTGGCTAACTGGTGATACTTTCTACAGAAAAAGAGGTTTATAAGATTATATTAAAAATCACATTGCACAAATGAAATGCTTTAGGGAGAAAACACTGTATTTGAAATGAATTGTTGTGATACCAGCATAAAGCCCTGGTTCATCATTTTTAACTTCTATGGGCCCATCCACACTGGCCCAAAACCTGGGGTTTTTACAAGAGTAGACTGAAATGTCCAAACCATGCCTCTGGCTAATCCAATTTACCCCGGAATACACCTCGATTTCCAGGTTTACTCCAGGTTTAAAAAACACCTGGGAAAGTGCAGATCTTCCAGGAAGATCTGCACTTTCCCGGGTATGGGGCCTGTGGGGATTGATTCTCAGGATCACCTTCCACAAACCCGAGGGTCAAACCCCACAGCCATTACGTTTCTTCAGGCTCCATTTGCAGGCTCCATTTGCAGGCTTTAGTTTAATGCTAAAACGGGGGATGGGGGGCTGGCAGTGTTACTCCCTAGGTCAATCTCAGATTGATCTGGCACAGTATCTAGCCATCACCCTGCTAAAATTGAGGGTTTGGGCAGGCTGTCTAGACTCCATTCTGCTAAAAACCGGCATGCCTGTTTCTAGTGTGTTTTGGACCTACCTGGAATGGTTCTACAAGTGATGTGTATCTCTTGTTTAAAGCCAGATGCTATGATTAATTTTAGACAACCATTTGGACTATTGGTTTTTGGGATTATTAACTAATTCTTCTCCATAATGCATTCCAAGATCTTCAGAAAGTGTCTTCAGAAATTGTCTATCTTAAGCCCTATCTACACTACCATATAACACATTTTGATCTGCATTATATGGTCAATGTAGACTTATATAATGCAAATTGATCTGTATTATTGGAGAGCCCTTCCAGACAAGCCCAAAATGCAAGACTTGCCTTGCTTTTTACCTGAGGCATCCAAATGATGCCTCAGATGAAAGTGAATTAATGCAGAGTAAACTGGGGTTTTCTCCACATTAATTAAACACCTCTAAAGCTCCAAGGTCTGGGTCTTTACAGATGAGGGCTTCCGCAGTCCCAGAGGTCAGTCCCCACAGCCATCTTGCTTGAAGAAGCAAGATGGCTGTGTGGACTGACCTCTGGGACTCCTTGTAGAACCCTTCCAGACCTCTGGGACTGCAGAAGTCCTGGGACTGCGGAAGACCTCACCTGTGAAGAACCAGACCTTGGAGCTTTAACTTCACATGATATGAATTTGGTTCTGATTATTATTATTTTTTAGTTTCTCAAGGTTACAATTCTGGACACTGTGATCCAAAAAGGAACTTTTGTCCACATTGAGTTTGTGCTATTCAAGCCAAGACTTTGGAGTGGGGAGGAATGAGTATATCATAACTTAACATAAACAGTTCATTTTATTGCAAACATGCCTCCTATAAGATATATAGCCTTCAACTAAGCTACAAGATTTGAGAATTTTAAAGGAGCCTTTTTATCAGCCAGTCTGGCAGCATACAGAAGAATAATCTTAGAAAATGGACATCTAAGACTTTTACTAACACCACGGACATATATTGAGAGATGCCTTATCTTTATTTCAACATTTCATGATAGCTGATTAGACAGAATGTCTGTAGTTTTTTGTTCTTGCTTTCGCTCTGCCCAGTCTAAATATGCACAGAATCTAAACTTAGAGCTGCTTTTGCCTTTTTCTACTTAGATCAAATGTTTTCAGCCACAGGGACCTTGGACTGCACCTGTCTGGCATTAGCTACATACATGGAGAGATAAATACAATTTCTATTGAGACAAAGACAGGGTTCCTTTTTTTCTTATTCATGCAGCTTTATTGGTTTAGATTTAATTTAATTACCATAGACCTGCATATCATCTACTGCATACCACCTTAAACCTGAACATTATCTGGCATTCTTTGGGTCTTTTCCATTATCACCAGGTTTTCCCACCTCCTCAATGCAAACATGCTGTTTGTATTGTGTTTTACTTCTTGTTTAGCTTTTAAAAATCAGAATGAGATGGTGGAAGCAGTGTTTGAATATGGAAGTGAAATCAGTGAAAGCCTATTACTGAAGCCGAATCACAATCACCGTGGAGATGCTCAGAGATCTTATCTAGGAAAGTAGGTTTTATGAATGGAGTTGCATTCTCCTTAATCCAACATTATCTGTATCTAAGGCCCCATCTACACTGAGCATATAATCCAGTTTCTCAAATCAGATTATCTGATTTGAACTAGATTATATGGCAGTGCAGACTCATATAATCCGGTTCAAATCAGATAATGTGGATTATCTGATTTGATAATGTGGATTATATGGGAGTGTCATATGGGCCTTAGGGCCCATCTAGACACCACCTTTATTGTGGGACCTCCCGCAATAAAGGAGGGGCTGTCTAGACAACGTTCTGGACAGTCCAGAATTAATTCACCACAAACCAGGAAAACCCAGGTTTGTGGCGAATTAATTTGATAGTGGATTTATTCTGCGTCTTCTAACTCTAACCCTAACCCAACTCCTCCTTTATTGCAGGAGGTCCCAGAATAAAGGTGGTGTCTGAATGGGCTCTAAGTTTACTGGGCTAAATAAGCCTGGTAAACTGTGGGAATACCCAACCCCTCCCCCAAGCCCCCAGACCCTTTTGAAAAGTAAAAAGAACTTAGCTTCAGTTTTCTATTGGGATATAACCATAGGACACAAGTAACAGTTTGACTGTGTCATGGCTCCATCCTATAGAATAGATCATTTGGATGAGCAGCATTAGTCTGTCTGGTAGAGGATTCTAAATATTTCGGAAAACTACAATGCCCAGAATGCCATAGGATGGAGCCATGTCAGAAGATAATATGGATACAGACTTGGTTTTGTGATACATATTAAAACTGGAAGACCACAAAATATACTTTGGAAAATTAGAAATCTTGCATGTTTGCAAGCCTACTGACAATGAAGGGTAAAATACTGTTTGTCCTATCTCATTACTTGTGTTCCATCCAGGAATAGCTTTAGTACAATATTTCTTTAAAATATATCTGATTAACAGGTTCAATATGTCCTTTTTAAGCATCTGGTGGAAAATAAACAAAAGTAAAAACCCTAGTACATTTATTTTATTTTTAGAAAGCCATCCACTTCTGGAAGTTCTCCAGTTCCACAAAATAATTTCTATAGGCACAGTCCCACCAACTAATTGCCTTTAAAATGCAGCAGTGTTGAGAATATACCAGACAAAGCCAAAAAGCATTGAAGACTGCTCCATTATGTAAAAATAGGAATATTAGAATACAAAGGGTGACGGCATTTTTTATTTTCAAGATAGGTCAAGATCCAATCTCAAAAAGTGGAGTCCTTTTGAAACACAAATGCCTTGAAGGGGTGTGGATTTGGCACAACAAAATTAGAAACACAAAACTTTCAAACTTCTAGCATGTTGTTTTTGGATGTTCCTACAGCTGAACTCCAGGCTTTGGAAACTATTTAACCTAAGGAGTCGAAAATATGGAAGCAAGTTCAAGTTTCTCTTTCTCGTTTGTTCAGTGAGAGATTTTTCATAAATTCACCATATGATCTATTTGCTTTTACTCGATTTATTTTCTTCAAATGGCACATTAAACTCTCAGTATAAACATAGCATTCTTTCTCTCTCTCTCTCTCTCTCTCTCTCTCACACACACACACAGAGTCACAAACAGATACAAAACACACACACACACATGAAGCTTTCATTTCCATTTTTAATTAATCACAGTTTGTAGCGTTATCTAAACTGAGACAACTCTAAGCCCTTCTACACCTGCGGACTTTTACCTAAGGCATGCAAATGATGCCTCAGGTAAAACAGGATTAATTCAGGACAAAACAGGAAAACCCTGCTTTGTCCCGAAATAATTAGATATCCCATTAGACTTGGGCCTTCTGGATCTAATGGGGTATAGGCCCTGTGGGGACTGATCCACAGGTAGTCATGGAACTACTAAGGAGTCAGTCTCCACAGCTGTCCCCTCCCCACCTCCACCCCCCAAAAACCTTAAAAGAAAGATAAAACCTACCAGGCTCCAGGAGGCCTGTTTTTTTTAAAGGCTTTTTTTTGGGGGGGGGGAGGGTGTTTGTTCTCCCCATGCCCACCCCGAAGTTACCAGTAGGGCATGTAGACACCCAACAGGGGAAGCCCAATTTGGGGATGGAAGGTGGGGACAAAAATGTGTGCCAAAGCAGGTTTTTAATACCCGCTTTGATACGCATTTCTGTCATTTCAGGAAGCGCCCTCTGATTTATTTGCAGCTAGGTAAGCTAAGATCAACCTAAAACGAAGCTAATATGAAGCACAATTTAGGATGCAAAGGTAACACTAACAGAAATAAGAAATAAACTTCATTGAACTGCCTTATATGAATCTACACCAAACATATAATGCAGTTTCCACTGCATTATATGGCTGTGTAGATGGGACTACATATATACTGTAGAATGAATGCAGTTTGATACCACT